CGGTCCACTACAACCAATAACTTTAGGCCTAATTGTCGATTTTTAGGTGTCTGTATCAAGATAGTTGAAAAACATAATAGTTGTAAAATAGGAAATTTTGAAAATAATGATATCAAGAAGAGTAAAAATGAATTGTCATCATGTTTCTTTTTGTCTAAATTATATGTGTATATCATCTGAAACCTATAATTATTTTCTTTCGTGCAATGTGTTAGCTATTGAGCATTGAAAATGAATGAAGTTGTGGTAGTGACAGTAAAGGCTAATTACAGTAGATTATATAGCGGATAAATTTGTGCTTCGCGTATGAAGCGTATTCAAACTTTAAGCTTAACTGTCGATTTTTAGGCGCCTGTTAGAATATGTATTGAGACGTAATGGTACTGCGTTATTTATAGCCTATGGAGAGGTAAAAAAAAGTAACTTAATGTCTTTCCTCACGTGTTTATGTTATGTAATTTCCTTTAAAGTTAAGTGTTATAAACGTCGTAGTTTTGCACTCGTACAGAACAACGAAGACTCCACTTTTGCATTCGTATAAACGTAAAAGTACCACTGTATATTTAGCCAATAGGAATATTGGGTTTCCATGTATACACGGATTGACTAACACATACTGTTTTTTTAATTATACAATAGTTCTAATGCTCATTAGTATTGTTCAGTTTTGGAAAGCGCCCTGTGCAAGAGAATTTCACTTTCAGCCCCAAACTCAATACTGCATTTTTTTTCTCATTCGACTTGCATCGATTTCGTTAATAGGTTGTAGTCTGTCTTAAAAAAAAAAACAACGAAATTATCATACCCGATTTAAGAGAGCAACTAAAGCCAAAATAAAAAAAAAAATAATTCCTTAAAGCTAAAGCTTAACTAAGTATATATTTGCTGCCGATCCTATTTTCCCACACTAAAGCATAATAAACAGTGAAAGCTTTTGTAATATGTAGAATTACACCACCCAATAACAGAGATCGTCTGTAAACGTAAAACAAACAAAGTCAAAAATGGATCTATTAGATGAAACTTCATACAGAGAATCACACTAAAAGCCCACGGAAAAACAACTACTAGTCAAGATTGAAATATCTTATATTTGTATTGAAACATTCAGTAACTAATTGGTCACTCACTTTGGTCCAAGTTACAGCAAGTAAGCAAACATACAAACAAAAAACTTTTGTCGAAATAACTAAATTTTGATCAAAAATTGGATGTATTAGATATATTAAAATAAAATAAGTATAGCATCTTTTATGTTTAAAATCTCCCGGGGTTGTTATCAAAGCTAATCTGAAATTTTCATACTCTTGGTGACAAATGATTTTATTAGTTTTTTTTATGTTTAGAACTGGTGAATCTCATTGGATAAATTTCCTCTAATAACTTGCTTAAAGTAGCCAATGTATTTACTTCGTTGCTAACGGGTGGATGGCGTGTATATGCATCATTCATCTTATAGGTCTACTGAATACAGGCAATCAGCAAATGTACACAAGACAGTCGGAGCATTAAATGTCACTTCAGTTTGGATTCACACAGTAAAAGTTAAAATGACTGCCAATCTTAAAACGTTTGTCCAATTACTCATCCATTCAATTTCGCTTACCTCAATTCCTTCACCAAGTGTACATGAAATTAATTCAAGTAATTTCTCATAACAGCTTCTGACGTCAAGACACAGTCAGGCATCTCTGCTTATATATACATATAGATAACGATTTTCGATTGTAAGCAGAGCATAATTTTTGCTGGATTTCAGGTCTGAGCTTTAAAAACAAAGTATGAAAAAGAAAGAAATGAGATAAAACGGTGAAATAACTGCAACATTATTAAAACTTAAATATCCATGCTAAAACAGCAACAAAGAAAGTTTGGTTCGTTGAATTTTACGCAAAGCTACTCGAAGGCTATCTTCGCTGCCCATTCTTAATTTTAGGAGAGATAGACTAAGGGAAGGCAAATAGTCAACATCACCCACAGCCAACTCGTGAACTACTTTTTAACCAACGAACGAATAGTGGGATTGACCGTATTATAATAACGCCCCCTCAGCTATAAAGGCGAAGCGTCTTAACCACCAGGTCATGTCAATCTCCATGAAAGAATGATGGAGGGAGAGAGACTGAGAGATAACGCGTTACAGTTACAGAAAAACACATTTAGAACTCGAAGTGCCACAGTGACAAGTTTATGATTACAAATAACCCACTAACTATATGTTTAATTCTAATTTAAAATGAGTTATTTTTATTTCAAAGAGAAATTAGCAAATTATGTACTTATTTACATACTGAATAAGCAAGAAAACTAGAAGGTTTATCTGGAATTGTGATTTAAGTCAGATAAAAGCTAAATACAATGAAGCTTTTGTTTTTAAACGTCCTCTAATTTCACAAAGCAATGTTAAATAAACAAACGTAGAATTTCCACGCTTCAAGTTCAACATACCATGCACCATCATCGCAGCATGTTGTACTACTAATATATTTTATTTAAATAATTGTAACATTATTTCCCCAAAGGTTAGTCGATGAATATATATTCTGCAAATTCTATGACTCTTTATTTAAAAAGTAGAGATTTGGGTTTTATTAAGAAATCATGTAAGGTCACCAAATATATGTTTGTTTTTTGAATTTCGCGCAAAGCTACACGAGGGCTATCTGCGCTAGCCGTCCCTAATTTAGCAGTGTAAAACTAGAGGGAGGGCAGATAGTCATCACAGCCACCGCCAACTCTTGGGCTACTCTTTTACCAACGAATAGTGGGATTGACCGTCACATTATGACGCCCCCACGGCTGAAAGGGCGAGCATGTTTGGTGGGACGGGGATTCGAACCCGCGACCCTCAGATTGCGAGTCGAGTGCCTTATCCACCTGGCCATGCCGGGCCCCAAATATATAAATCATAATGTTTAATGAAATATTTGGTAATAATAATTAAGCAACAATAGTACACAGTTAACCGAGTCAGAACAATTTTGTAACTGAAGTTAAGAATATACATATATAAATTACGAACTAACATTTTTTTGTAAAAAAAAAATGCATGTCTCTCAT